CTCATAAAGTATTTTCTAGTGTCCCTTGTGATTTTTTTCTATGACCCATTAGATATTTAAGAGTGTATTGTTTAATTTCCATATGTTTTTTTAATTTCTAAGATTTTTTTTCTGCTAGTGATTTCTAATTTTCTTCCTTAAGAGCTAGAAAATACTTCGATTTAAATTCTTTATTTTTTTTTATTTTGTAGCCTAGCCATATAGTCTATCCAAGAGTATATGTCAAGTGCACTGAAGGATAATGTATGTTCTGCTGTTGTTGGGTGGAGTGTCTTGTAGATGTCTATTAGGTCTACTTAATTTATAGTGTTATTCAAGTCTTCTGTTCCCTGTTCTCTTGTTAAAATTCTGCCTAGTTGTTGTATCCATTATTAAAAATGTGATTTTGAATGATCCTGCTATTATTAATTGGTGGTCTGATTAATGGTTGATCACACTATTAATCAGTTTCTCCCTGCAAACCTGTCAGCTTTTGCTTCATGTATTTTGGTGCTCTATTGTTAGGTGCATATACATTTATATTTGTTATGTATTATGGATGAACTGGTTCTTTTATCATTATAAAATGTCTATCTTTATCTCTAGTAACTTTTTTTAAGTCCCTTTTATTTTATGTAAGTATAGTCATTCCAACTGTCTTATGGCTGCTGCTAGCATAAATATCTTTTTCCATCCTTTTACTTTTAATCCGTATATGTCTTTAAATCTGACATGTTGTAATACAGTGTAAGAGACATATTGTGGCTTTAAGATTAATGATAGCCATAGGCCCATGCAAACGTCTTGCAGGGCTGACACTGTGTCAATTAGCAGTATGACGCAACATGGCCTAGGGATTTCCAGCCCTGGCTGGGGAATTTCCAGGAGGTAAGACCACCTCAGCATAGATGGAACTCTCATAAACCATAAATACAAAGCTTACCCTTACCAAAATAGCTTAACTCCCTTACGGAAGAGAAACCTGGTAACTGACCTGGACTAAATACAAGATAAGAACGGGGAAGAATCCCTGAAACTCTGAGAATGCTCTCCGGACAGAGACCCTCCGGGTCAGGCAGTCATGATACCTGAATGTATCTGACCCTTGCCACCTGCCTGCTCCTGCTAGCTATCTTGTAAGAGCGCTGCCAGAATAAACTGCTTGAACATCACACAGCATCTAAGACTTATCTTTGATGTGAATAATACGAAAAGGGAAAAGTCACCTTTGGGGAAGGTTAACTAGGCCCACCCCAAGAGCCCTGAGCAGGACACATGGGTCTCCTGTAGATTCTTGTTTTGTTTTGTTTTGTTTTGTTTTTTAGACAGAGTCTCACTCTGTTGCCCAGGCTATGGAGTGCAGTGGCACGATCTCAGCTCACTGCAACCTACGCCTCCTGGGTTCAAGCCATTCTCCTGCCTCAGCCTCCCGAGTAGCTGGGACTACAGGCACCCGCCATCATGGCCGGCTAATTTTTGTATTTTTGGTAGAGACGGGGTTTCACCATGTTGGCCAGGCTGACCTTGAACTGATCTCAGGTGATCCATCAGCCTTGGCCTCCCTAAGTGCTGGGATTATAGGCGCGAGCCACCGCACCTGACCAGTTCTTTTTAAATCTAGTCTGACAACCTCTGCCTTTATATTAGATTGTTTAATCATTCACACGTAATGTTACTATTGACATAGTTGGATTACCACCTATATTTTTACTTTTTGTTTTCTAGATGTCTCATATATTTTTTGTTTTCTTTTCCCCCTTTACTGTTTTCTTTTGCATTAACCAATGTTTTCTAGTTTAACATCAAAATTCATTAGTGCTTTTTTCACTTTTTAAATTATTTCCTTAGTAGTTATCAAGGGCTTACTATATACGTATAAACTTATCAGTATTTATTTCAGATTTATACTAACTTAATTCCAGAAAGACGTAGAAATGTTACTCCTATACAGTTCTGTTCCTTCTTCTTTTTTGTGCTTTTATTGTTACCGGTGTTACATCTATATATGTTACAAACTCAACAGTACATTGTTACAAATATCTTTTTTTTTTTTGAGACAGTCTTGCTCTGTCACCCAAGCTGGAGTGCAGTGGTGCAATCTTGGCTCACTGCAACCTCCACCTCCCAGGTTCAAGTGATTCTCATGCCTCAGCCTCCCAAGCAGCTGAGATTACAGACATGTACAATCAGGTCCATCTAATTTTTGTATTTTTAGTAGAAACAGGGTTTTTCCAGGTTGGACAGGCTGATCTTGAACTCCTGGCCTAAAGTGATCTGCCCACCTTGGCCTCCCAAAATGCTGGGATTACAGGCATGAGCCACTGCACCCAGCCACAAATATCATTTTAGTTAATTTCCTGCCTTTTCCCTCCCCTCCCCTCCCCTCCGCTCCCCTCCCCTCTTTCCTCTCTTTTCTTTTCGACAAGATTCCACCCTGTCACCCAGACTGGAGTTTGGTGTCACGATCACAGCTCACTACAGCCTCAACTTCCCAGGCTCAAGTGATCCTTCCACCTCAGCTGCCCTGGTAGCTGGGACTACAGGCATATCCCATCACACCCAGCTGATTTTTTATTTTTTGTGCAGATAAAGTGTCCTGACATTGCCCAGACTGGTCTTGAACTCCTGGGTTCAAGTGATCCTCCTGCCTTGGCCTCCCAAAGTGCTTACAGGCATAAGCCACTGCACCTGGCCAATTTCATGTCTTTTAAGGAAGCTAAGGGAAGAAAGAACAAGTGTATATTTATAGATTTTGTTCGAGTAACCTTCTTAGTTGCCTTTTCACATTATCTTCATTTGTTCCATGGATCTGAATTATCATCTGGTGTCTTTTCCTTAATAGACAATTCTGCTGTCTCCTACCTCCTTTGTGCTGTTCTCATGAAATATTGTGTTATAGCCCTAACAAAATAATTATATACATGTCACTTTATACAGTTGCTTTTAAATCAGTTGAGAGAAGCAATATACAGTTACACTGCCCTTTTTTCCCTTTATTTTTTTGAGACAGAATCTCTTGTGCGGATTTCAAGATACTTTCTCTGTCTGTCTTTGGCTTTCAACATTTTCATTATCATGTGTCTGGGAGTGAATGTCTTTGTGTTTTATCCTACCTGGAATTCATTTAGCCTCTTGGGTGTGTAGATTAATGTTTTCCATCATATTTGAGACATTTTCAGCCGTTATTTTTCAGAGACGTTTTCTGCCCCTTTCTCTTGCTCCTGCCCTTCTGCTACTCCTGTTTTCCATATTTGGTGCCTTATGGTGTCCCACATTTCTCTGAGGCTCTGTTTATCTTTCTCATGTTTTTCCTCTCTTATATTTGGATTTCATAATCTCTGTAAATCTACCTTCATGTTGAGTAAATGTATTTTCTGCCAGTTCCAACAAACTCTTGAGCCCCTCCAGTGAACTCTTCATATCGGTTGTACTTTCCAACTCCACGATTTCCTTTTGGTTCTTTTTCATAATTTCTCTCTTGGTTATCTTGAGGACTCTCTGTGTGATGAGCCACTGTCATCATACTTTATCTCTTTAAGTACAGTTGCAGGCAGTTTGTATCGCTTGCCTTTTTTCCTGCTTTTCCACACACTGAAGATACCAGTTAGAATTATTTCAGTTTTCCTGTTCCTGGGATTGCTTCTGTGTGGTCTAGAATCAGTCATTTACCTGTTTGTTCATCCTGGGTTTTCCTCGGCCTTGGGGATCGTGGATTGTTCCTGTGGATGGAGGAAGCATTTCGTTGTTTGATGTAGGGCTAGGGAGGGCTCATCTCCAACTCTCAGTGCGTTTCCCCAGGAGGCGTCTCCCAGGAAGGGAGGGCCCACAGTGGGCGCTGCATAAGGTAGTGGCAGCGGACCCCGCCCACTTTTCTCTGTGACTTCCCTGGACAGAGCTGCTTTTGCTTTGCTCCTCTGAGTCCCCTAGCAGATGCCTCAAGCTCTTCCCCCTTTTCTAGATCGTTCCCCCAGACAAGGAGCCTGCCTTGTGCCTGTCGTTCCTCTCTGGGCGTGTGGCGCTGTCTCAGTCTGAGGTCAGTGCCTCTGCTGCTGACTTGGTGTACGGGAGCAGGGAGTGCTCGGACATTGGGACACTGTCCTCTGCCGGCCTTGGTAGCTGGCCCCTGCCCTGCGCTTCCCGCTGTCCACCCTGAACTTGCATGGCCACTGGATCCTTTCAGATTTGCCTTTAAGTATTCTCTTCACTGTTAATTTAATGCCATCATCTTGCTACATTTTAGGGACTCCTCAAAATTCCTAGTCCACATACCTCACCGCTCCCCCTTTTATTTGAGACAGTGCGTTACTGTGTCACCCAGGCTGGAGTGCAGTGGCGTGATTACCCTATGTTGCCCAGGCTGGTCTTGAACCCCTGGGCTCAAGCAGTCCGCTCACCTCGGCCTCCCAAAGTGAGCCACTGTGCCCGGCCAGATACCCTTTGTTGGTGTTTTGATTTGATTCTTATTCGGAGAAGTGGCTCTTTTCTCTTTCATTTCAGTAGGACCCTGAGCGGGCAGTGGATACATTTGTTTTTCACCATTTTAAACTCAAAGGACTAAAGCTGAATAATGTCGTCTCCTCTGCTCATTTTCCATCCGCAGTAGTGAGACTGTCCGTGCCTGCGGCAACGCCTGGCGCGTACGAGTGGCTGCATCCGCACTGGCTGGGTGCCGAGCACATGGCAGTGAAGAGCTGTGTGCTAGGACCCTCCCCTAAAGCAAGAGCCTGTGTCCCTGTTGCCACTTCCCCTTCGGTCCCTGTAGAAGCAGAAAGGCACATAGGTTCCACGACACAGATCCACCCACTGCAGCCACGTTAAAGACGCGTTCACATTGAAGCACCCGACAGTGACGCTGGGCGAATGATGATGGGCGGCTTATATTCTTCTTTATAGTCTTCTGAACTTGGGCAACAATTTACTTTTATAATTGTAGAAAACTGTTTTGTTAAGCTCTGTTGGAATACAATTTTGAGAGGAATCAATTTGTGCAACTTAGTTCGGTACCCATGTTTGTTTCCCAGCGGTCACCTTTGTCCCTGTGTCCAAGGTGAGCGGGCAGGCAGAGGTGGATGACATCCTCGCAGCTGTCCGCCCGACCACACGCCTTGTGACCATCATGCTGGCCAACAATGAGACCGGCGTTGTCATGGTGAGTCAGCCTTTGTTTCTCTTTAAGGAGAGCTCATGGGGAAGAACAGCGGCTTAGACTCATGGCGTTTCAGGTTTCCCAGCTCTGGCTTCTCCCATTTCTCTGTTCACTTTGATAACATTTGGCCTGTGCTCACTACTCCTGATTTCTGTCATTCAGTTTTCATCAAATCGGAGCAACATACTCAACTGTTTCCTTTCCCCGTCAGCCTGTCCCTGAAATCAGTCAGCGCATTAAAGCCCTGAACCAGGAACGGGTGGCAACTGGGCTGCCTCCCATCCTTATGCACACAGATGCTGCACAGGCCTTGGGGAAGCAGCGCGTGGATGTGGAGGACCTGGGCGTGGACTTCCTTACCATCGTGGGCCACAAGGTATGTTTGCAGAGGCCTCCTCCCTCTGTGGACAGAGTCTGCTGCGCAGGTGGCTGTTCACTGCTCGGTCCGTAAGCCTCACTGCCCGCTGTGAGCCAGGCCTTGGGGGCACTGCGAGGAGCAACATGGGATCCCTGTCCTCAGGAACTTTAAGAGAGGAGCCCCACATGGCCAGCAGGCCAAGTTGAATGCCATGGCAGGGCATTCAACCCACATAGGGCAGGGTGGGGCGGTGGACCAAGCTAGGGGAGGAGACGTCAAGATCTCAGGGAAGTAAGGCAGGGGGTTCGGACAGGCGGCGAGTGTCTGCAGCGGACAGAGCATATGCAGAGGGCGTGGGGTAGAAGATGTGGGGACAGGAAATTGTTGCTTTCTCTAATGTGATTTCAGATGCGGCTCCTCAACAAAAACTTACCAGCTATCTTTAAGGTGGGAGTATGGGGGAAAGAGTTAACAGTGAACACCCTTCTGAAAATTTTGCACATCTTTCTGACAGCTTACCAGGGCCTGAGATATTTTTAGTACTCAATTTTGAAGCACAGTCCTCAGCTGGTTTCCAAAGGAGTATCTATGGTGGCCTGACACTTTGGCACTCCAGAGTTCTGCATTGTGTCAGTTGGAAACATGGAATCATTTGCAGGAAAGGCCGTGGCCAACTACTGGTTCCAACTCCTCTCTATTTATGCATTCTCTTTCTCTTTTTTGTTTAAACCGTGATCCATATGATTTGAGATCCTTGTACAAATTCTATCACATGATGTGCGAGGGAGAGCTGCCTGCCACAGAGCTGGGCACGAGAGTCTAGCACCTGCGCTGCCTCCTAGGTTGGGGTTCCACCCTGCCCCGAAGGCTTTTGTGACTCTGCATGTCAAAAGGGGTGACCCTCAGAGGCGCCCCAAGGAAGCACTGTGCATCGCAGAGCATTTCTCCTGTGTGCCTCTAGGCACTTAGCGTGTCTACAGAGTAGGTCCTTGGAAAGTTCTTGTTGAATAAATGACCAACTTTTCCTTCCAGTTTTATGGTCCCAGGATTGGCGCACTTTATGTACGAGGACTTGGTGAATTTACCCCTCTCTACCCTATGCTGTTTGGAGGTGGACAAGAACGGAATTTCAGGCCAGGGTAAGGCAGAAAGTTAACAAGGTCTCTGACCTACTGACCGTGTCATTTGTAGAGCAGTGACATTGTAAAGAAACATGGCGCCATTTCTCCGTCTCGTGGAGGCTCTGTAGCAGTGTCCACACTGCTGCTGTCAGAACTGACTCCACTGATTGATCTCACACCGAGGACTTACAGGACCTGCGGTCTCTTTGGGAATGATTGAAAGCAATGAAGGAAATCTCTGTTTCTTTTAACTGCTCCAACGCATCCAATTCCCCTTGTAATTTTGGCCCAGCCCACTGAAGAGATAACTGTTGGACCCTTCATGGCTGAGGCCTGCTGCTGTTTTAACTTCGGGGCCACACAGAAGCACCCTGGTCTCCTTTCTGATAGCTCCTGTGTCCCCTCTAGGTACAGTGACGTGAACTGGGAAATTAGTTGTTGTCCCCACTACACCTTGTATTAGAAACTTGTTAACAAGAGGCAGAAACAGTAACAGCGTAGAGCTGGAGGTGGAGGTGGAGGTGAGTTCCCAGGTTTTCTTCTCACCTTATATATCCCACACTTAGTGCTGGAGAAGCTGGCAAACCTGAAATGCCAGTAAGGGCAGACACAAATTGCCCCAACCAAAGCCTGTCCTCTCTAGTCAGTGGACCAGGAAAGGAATGGCCTAGTAAGACAGAAGACTTGTAGACAACACCTGCTTTACTCCAGCCAGATGCTACAGGGGATATTGTGCGGCCACGCCTATCCACGCCTGCAAAGATGGAGCGGGAAGCCCAGACTTCCGCCAATACAGGCTGTAACAAGGCATCCCACACCGCCCCCGGGTGTGTCAAGAAGGCCAAGTAGAGAACCAGGAGTTAGGCACCCCTACCGTAGTGTCAGCAGAGACCATATAGGGATCTTGGACCCACACCTGTCAGTCACAGGGAGTGTCCTCCCATAGGGTGTCAACATCAGCCAAGTAAAAAATCTAGACGTTGACCAGACATAGGCTCATGCCTGTAATCCCAGCACTTTGGGAGGCCGAGGTGGGCAGATCACTTGGGGTCAGGAGTTTGAGACCAGCCTGGCCAAGATGGTGAAACC